CTCTTCAACAACTAGATGTCAACAAAGTCTTCCTCAATGGGGTTGCCAAAGAGTTTCACCAAGTCCAAGGGTTTGATTTCAATGAAACATTCTCTCTTGTAGTCAAACTCATCACTATAAGGCTTATGTTGACTCTTGCTCTCTAGATGTCAACAAAGTCTTCCTCAATGGGGCTTCTTGAGGAGGACTTCTTGAGAAGGAGGTTTATTGGAACCACCTCAAGGCTTTGAAAGTGATGATCCAACTTTTGTTTGCAAGTTGCATAAGGCACTGTATAGCCTTAAACAGGCACCAAGACAATGTTTTGATGGCTTGACCCGCATTCATGTTGATTTTGGGTTTCCAGCTAGCAAGTGTGACTCTTCCCTTTTCACTTATTCTAAGAAAATTCAAGTAGTTTATCTCCTTGTTTATGTGGGAAGATATCATCATCATAAAGCACTGTATAGCCTTAAACAGGCACCAAGACAATGGTTTGATGGCTTGACCAACACTCATGTTCATTTTGGGTTTCAAGCTAGCAAGTGTGACTCTTCCCTTTTTCACTTATTCTAAGAAAAGTCAAGTAGTGTATCTCCTTGTTTATGTGGAAGATATCATCATCATACGGAGCTCTACTCTTGTTCATAATCTGGTTCAACAACTTCATGCAGTTTTTAGCCTCAAACAGTTGGGTGCACCTGACTATTTTCAAGGAATTAAAGTGAAGTATTTCTCTAATCACACTATTCTACTCACACAAAGAAAGTACATCAAATATCTTCTCTCTAAAACTAGCATGTTGGACTGCAACCCGATTAACTACCAATGGTTTCTACTTGCAAACTCCCCAAAGTTGGTTCCTCCACCTTTCAGGAATCAGGATCGTTCTCTTTACAGATCAATAATAGAAGCTCTACAGTATGCTAAAATCACTCGTCCACAACTATCTTATGATGTCAATAAGTGTGTCGGTTTATGTCTAATCCCCTTGTACCTGTTGGTGCACAAGGTTAATAAATGAAGGAAAGGTAAGAGAGAATATATTTACTGCAATGAAAGCTAGAAAGCTTACAAAAGGAACGATACAAATGATTGCTACTACTAGTCTATTTATACACAAAGTAAATTGCCACATAGGCCCTAATAAAAGTAAACTTAATGACTAAGTTAAAAGGTACAAACTAGGAAATACTAAACTTAACAGCTACGCTAACAAACTCAGCTCCAGAACCCCAGAAGTTGAGCTGAACATACTTCTGCATGTAACCTCAGAAGCTTCTGCTTCTAACTAAACAACTTCTTAATATATCAACTACTGCTTCTAACTAAGTAGTCTCAGAAGCATAGAGCTTTTGACTAACAACCTCAGAAGTTCTACTGCTTCTGAGCAACACTGATTCTACCAACAACTTCTAAAAATGAATTACTTTCAACATCATCCCTTAATTCATATTCAGCTAACCAAAAACAAACTTCAACATCAATTTCATCCCTCAAGCGGATAAAGTGTTCAGTCTTAACATCCTTCGTCAAAACATCTCCAAGTTGCTTCTGATTGCTATAATGTACAACTTCTAATACTCCATTTAGAAATGCAGATTTCTCCTTGAAAACTCATCTGACCCTGATGGCTTTCTTCTCCTTTGAAAACTCAATTAACTCTCAAATCTTGTTTCTTTGTGGCCTCTGGACTTGTTCAGAATCTCCTTCTGATTCTGTAACAGAAGTTCGACTACCACCAGAAATACCACCTTCAGAAATTGGATCGCCTTTAGAAACTCTGCCTTCAAAAGTTACACTTTCATAATCGTGACCACCGTCAAAGGCTTGACTACCTTAAGAAGCTCCTCCTTCAGAAGATCTACCTTTAAGGACATGATTTCCACCAGAAACATGATCATCTTAAGAAGCTTGTCCTCCAGAACCTACCTCTTTGGAGTTTTCCCTTCTAGAAGCATGATCACCGCCAGATTCAAAATCTGGATCAGAATCAGATTCACCATATGACTCATCTTTAGAGTCTCTAGAGTGACATCTTCTGACTCTAGCTCTTCTTCAAAACTTTCAAGTTCCGACTCATCTTCAGAAGCAGAATCTTCTTCAGATTCTGACTCATCTTCTAATTCTTCTTCGGACTCAGAATCACCTTCGGATTCTGACTTGTCTTCAGCTTCAGAGTCATCTTCTAACTCTGACTCATGTTCAGAAACCTCAAATTCTAACTCATCTTCAGAATCTTCAGCGTCATTTTCTGATTCTGACCCGTATTCAAACACTTCTTCAGAGTCAGAATATTCAGAGTCATCTTCTTCCCCTTCAGAATCAGAAAATGACAATTTCACAGGTTCCTCATCAGATTCATAAGCCATTAATAGCACAGGTTCATCATCAGAATCTCCTCTGGCTATTTTTGCTTCTTCTTTGTTTGACCAACAATCTTTATCAAAGTGGCCAAACATATTACAACAGTAACATTGAACCATTCTCTTTTCATATTTCTCCTTTCCCTTCTGATGTTTCTTCTCATCAGAGTAGAAGACTTCTGACTTGAGACCTACCATGTTTTTTCTGCTTCTGGTCCTTCTTGACAAAAGAAGCTTTCAGAGCTTGCTCAACTTTCCTCTCAAATGTTCTTTCAGTCAGACGCAACTCATGCGCCTCTAGACTGCTTTGCAGCTCTTCTATTTTTATGGTGTCCAAATCTTTAGAATGTTCAATTGCTACAACAATGTAATCAAATTGAGGGGTAAGCGACCTCAATATTTTCTCAATGATTACTTGTTCATAAAGGGTTTCTCCACAAGCTTTCATCTCATTAGTGATCAGAATCACTCTAGAGATATACTCAGAAACCTTCTCGCTGTCCTTCATGTTGAGATTCTCATACTGTTTTCTGAGAGACAAGCTTCACCTTCTTTACTGATGTGTCACGACCGTAACACCTACTCAGTGTGTCCCACGCAGCCTTCGTCGTCGTCGAATCAGCAATTTTCTCAAACATGTTCTCATCCACGCATTGATGGATGAAGAACAACGCCTTCTGATCTTTCTTCCTTGTATCTCTCTGCGCATTTCTCTGTTCCTCCGTCGCATCTGCTACAATTGGAACATAACCATTGGTAACAAGCTCAAGAACATCCTGAGCGTCAAACAACACACGCATCTGAATCATCCAACGATTCCAATTTTTGTCATTAAATATTGAAAACTTGGTGCTTAGACTACCATTTCCGGTCATCTTCAACCTTGTACAGAACACTCAAATCTCACAAACAGTGTTTCCCAATCCCACAGAATCAGAAAAATGTGAATTTGTTCAAATTTTGTTCAAGATTCAACACGAATTCAAGAACCAAAATCAATCACACAACGCCTCACCATTTTACTCGTGTTTCCCGTGAATCCAACCAGAGCTCTATATACTAATTTGTTGGTGCACAAGGTTAATAAATGAAAGAAAGGTAAGAGAGAATATATTTACTGCAATGACGGCTAGAAAGCTTACAAAAGGAATTATATAAATGATTGTTACTACTAGTCTATTTATACACAAACATGTAGGCCCTAATAAAAGTAAACTTAATGACTAAGTTAAAATGTACAAACTAGGAAATAATAAACTTAACAGCTACGGTAACAAACTCAACTCCAGAATCCCAGAAGCTGAGTTAAACATACTTCTGGACGTAACCTCAGAAGCTTCTACTTCTGACTAACAACAACTTCTTAATATATCAAACTACTACTTCTAACTAAGCAGTCTCAAACTTACAGCTTTTGACTAACAACCTCAGAAGTTCTACTGCTTCTGAGGAACACTGATTCTACCAACAACTTCTGAATATGAATTACTACCAACAGTACCTCATTGGTTAGCTGTCAAAAGAATCCTAAAGTATTTGAAAGGAACTATTAACTTTGGTCTCAAATTTTACTCTGCATCCACACACAAACCTCTCTCACTACAAGTGTTCTATGATATGGATTGGGCAGCAGACGCTAATGATAGGAGGTCCATATCAGGTGCTGCAATATTGGACTTAATTTGATCCCCTAGTAGTCAAGAAAGTAGTCTGAAGTTTCTAAGTCAAGCACTGAGGCTGGATGGATACAGGAGCCTTGCTTAGGCAACTGCTGACATTCTATGGGTTCAAGCTTTTCTAAAAGAGCTCACGGTTCCATTATCTTCCCCTTTAATCTACTATAATAATCAGTGAGCGTACTTCTGGTTCACAATCCCATTCTTCATGCAAGGACCAAACATACAGAGATTGATGTCTTCTTTGTTAGAGAAGAGATTTTGGCAAAACAACTCACTGAAGCATATTTCCTAAGCACATATCAGTGGGCTGATCTCCTACCCAAGCCAGTTTCAACAGTCAAGTTCCGTGACATGCGTTCTAAATTCAACCTTTAGTTTGAGGGGGAGTATTAGAGTATATCAAGCAACAACTGATTAGTTGTTGCGCAAAAAGATTTTGGCAAAACAACTCACTGAAGCATATTCCTGGCACAGATCAGTGGGCTGATGTCCTCACCGAGCCAGTTTCAACAGTCAAGTTCCGTGATATGCGTTCCAAATTCAACCTTTAGTTTGAGGGGGTGTATATATCAAGCAACAACTGATTAGTTGTTGCACAGCCAGCTACATTTCTGTCCGGCCTAACTTGGCTGTGCACAGGATTAGAGTCAGTTAGCCGATTGTTCTAGAATCTGTTAAACCTAACATGTGCTCTGTGGCACCTAGCACGGAATTAGAGCTAGCTAGAGGGAATGTTCTAGATTCTCATGTGCATACACGGGATTAGGTCCCTATATAAACTGTACGTAATCATTTTCCTATGAGATTAATGAAAACCAGAATATTCCAAATAGTAGATATAAACTCTCTGAAAATTAACATAGATACACAAAAAATAAAGCTCTATTGTGTAATACACAGATTGAGTCATACACCTATTCTTTTTTTTTTTTACTCAACAAACATAGAACAAACATTGCAAGAATCCGACATTTACCTGTTCTGTGAGAACAACATAAATCTCACCCTCTGATTCCAAAAGTATCAGCATAGCCACAGCTGGTCCTCTTGCAAATACAATACCTGGAACCTGATCACAATTTACTTTAATATGAAAAGAAAGAAATCAGCATTAGCAGGAATAAATATAAATATAGATAAATAAACTAATAAAAATTGGTAAGACAGAGATCCAATGCCTAGCGCATCCCAGGTTCCATGGATTTTGGATCCTAGGATAGATTTTTGCAAGTTTGATACAAGTAAGACAGGAATTTCAGATCCCTGTCACTTCTAAACAGAAAAATGTGTGTAGGCATGGGATGCACTTACAATTCAACCATATGGAAATCACATGTCCCATCATATTATACCCTCTTTGTTGGACATTTAAAATTTCTAAGATCAACAAGAAGGCGACAGATATTCCTGGTTGCACCAAACATGGGAATCCTAAAGACTTAAGGAAAGAACTAAGTGGGGTTATACTGTAGTACAATGGGAAAGAACAAGAACCAATTCCAACAACCAACACCTTTATTTAAAAAATAACAAATATGTTATGGAAATAGTATGAAACCTTATTCCCTGTTTCTTTGTCAAAAATCTCAGCTTTGAACTTAAGAAACCCAATGCGCTTCCCAAACATGTCTACTCCCTGTTTATACCAAAACAAATCCACCAAATTTTGTTATTATGATTTTAGGATACAAGAATGAACAAACCAGAAAAGTTACTTGAATATCCTTGTGATTAAATTGGCACATCAACAGTTCCAAAGCCCAAATTATTGGAAACAGTATGCTTGTTGATAGTTTACAAATCTCTTAAAATTATATATTCTGAATTGAGTAACTTCCATGAATTATGTCGTTAGTTAAGTTCTCAAAAGGAAAGAAGAAAACATCGAAAGAAAATATCAATTTTGACAACATCAAATAAGTTTTTTTCCATATCTTCTAGACTTTGGGTAATGAAATGCTGAGAAAACCTCTACAACTGTTTTTACTCAACAAATTAACACGTCAATTAAGTTTTTCTCACTGGGTTGGTCACCTATATGGATCATTAGATGCCATAATATCCTGTCACAAATCATGATTTTGACCATTGAATTCCAAGTCATTCTTAATAGTTAGACTTGCATTGTTCCACAGTTATTCTTTACCTTTGGCTAATGTGATGTCCTTAATCCTCTCTCAACCCTTTACCTAAGCCATACTTTTACAAGTCTTCTCCACACATAATCAAAACACCTTAAAAATGATATGCTGTCATCTTTCCTACAATAGTAGCTATCCTTACTTTATATTTCTAATGATATCATTTATAATCTCATCTTGTCTTGTACGACAGCTCCTCCATTGCAATTGTTAGTATGGTTGGACCTAACTCAACCCTACAAAACCGGCTTGTAGGGTGAGGATTACCCTCACTTATAAAGACATGTTTAGGCTATATATTGTTCGATGTGGGCCTCAGCAACAAAAATCTTATTTTATTATTGAACTTTTATTGTCCGATATTTAATTTCATACAATGTAACCCGATATTCAGTGATATTTTTTTCATAGTAATTAAACTAGAAGCATTACTCCATTTCATCCACTACACTTCGATCTAGTGGGTTACATTCTCTTCTACCTCCTTATCCTGTTATATAATGAACTCAAGACATTTACACCATGAGACTTATAGTATGATAATATGTTCTCCAATTTTCAACAGTAAATTAGTTTTTGTGTTCCTCCCACTAAACTTGCATTTCATATACAACTGTATTTCTAAGTACACAAAAATAATGTGCAACAGTTTTGCAAGTCAATTATCTTGCTCAATAACCTAATTACCTGAATTAGAATGTGATTGAGAGTCATTTTACCATTTGCTAGAATACCATTCTCTGTTTGCAAGTTATGCAACCAATGCTTGAATAAAGAGGAATCAATAGCACTCCTGCAAAAACAAACATCAAAGTATGCTTCAATTAACTGCTTGAATAAACTTTAGTTAAAAATTTATGAACTGAAAATTATGAAATGTAATATGATTGACCAGAATTCGGAAGAGGATACACCGGGAGCGGCGAGAATTTGAACGGGTTCGGACTGTTTACTCGGCAGTGTGATAGAGTGAGTCAATGACGGTGACTCGGTCGACATTTTGCAGAAGAAACCCTTTTTGTTCTTAGAAAGCAAATTGGGAGCGTGAAACGGGTTTAGAACTTGCAATGAAGTAGATATAGTGCGAAGAACAGTAACAGCCATCTCAGCTTCGTGGAGGATTTACATGCCACCCCACACATCCCACTTATGCTTCACACCCCATTTTCTTTTAGGCACTTTTATGTTAATGTTATCATGAAAATATTGGAAATTATGAAATTTTCAAAAGTCTATCGAAAATTTCATTAATTATCAGAAATTTAAATAATTTTATTGATTTTTATCGTATCTAGATGGAGGATCAGAATTTTAAAATTTTCAGTGAGTAGTTACATTATATCGTAAATTTCAAAATTTTCGGTAAGTGTTAAACATTTCGGAAAATTGAAATTTTCGGTAATCTTGCAGTTTATTTTTTCCCCATTTTTTCATTGTTTTTTCAAGTAAAATTGAATCGGTAAAATAGATATCCGACTTATATGAAACTACAATGATTTCTTACACATGTTTTTCCAATGTCTAAAGCGACTCATATATTTATTCACATGTTTTTGCATCATCAGTACAATTTTGTCTTTGACGGTCAGTGGCGGAAGGTAATGGGCAATCAAATTTCAACTTTATCTGAACCCAATGATTGTCGACAAAACTAACAATAATAATTATATGGCTGCTCGTATATAGAGGTGGAGTTAAGGCAAGAGGAAAATATGTGATGTTATGTCTCATGGAAAGGGAAACAAATACGATATTGTATCTAGAAGCAATAGGGTAACCTATATCTTGAATCGTCATCCATTTTCCCTACCATGCACACTCAAGTGTTCTACTCATAACGCATTCTTAATTGTGAGATAGTGTCATAGAACAACTTGAAAAATAACTGAGAGTGTTGATGAACTTGAGGATTTAACTCCGTCTGAATCAAAGGCCATGACTCTTCGTCACATCCTAATAAAGATGAAATACAACGGAAACCATAATTTCCATCGTTACCAACATCAATAATGCCATCAATGCATGAATGTAAGAAAGCAGGAAATCGTGACAAGTATAGATGTCTTGGAGATTTGATGGGCAGTTGGCTACCAATAGACATACTTGACGGTTGACTTCTAGTTGGTTTTGTGCATGATCTCTTTGTAATTTGACTCCCTTGCAAAGCCTCAGCATACTCTTACTGGTTAGGATCTCGATGTACATCACTCTCTTGATCATTTCTACTTTTCTTAACTTCCCTCTTTGACTTGTACTTCACCAGTGGTGGACATATTAAAGTTGTGGATGGATATGTTAGATCACAAACTTTTTTCTTCAACACCCTCTGACCTACAATATCTAAAGTATTAAAATATCTCTTCAACTCTTCACATTTTTCTTCTAAATCTCACTTTGTACTATTCTCAACATGACTGGCCTCATGTTCTGCAATGTGCAATTTCCTTCAGAATACATGAATTGAGTCTAAAGGTACAGGGTTGCCTAGAATTTGGAAATCGACAAGTTAACACGCACACGGTAACCCATGTGTTGTTATAATGAAGCAACCATGTCTCTCTTGGCCTAAACCAACAAACTTTACACTTTCTAATTCATTTCCAATGAGTTGTATACATTGTCTTGAGACAAAACCGTGCAACTTGACATAAAATTGAGTGTTATACTGATGTTCAATATTGACAATATTTTTTTGAAACTACACACTGATTGAACCTAGTTGTAACTTCAACATGGTGTTCACAGCATCCCAACTTCGACATAAATCACCCCTGACTTGTAGTCAGCATTTTTTTTAGTTTCCAATGAGCATACTCCACCCTAAAATCCATAAATAGAAAAACATGTTTCAAACTGTTTTTGACCCGTAAATAATAATAACATCAAACTGTCATGATTTGTGTACTTGTTTGTTGTTATGTTCCTTGAAGGAGTGACTATGTTAGTCCATTCATCAACAAATCTTTCTTTATAAGGTGTTAACCATGTTTCATTCACATACTTAACAAATAAAGGAATATCAATACAAATACTTTCAAAGTGCTTAAGATGTTCGCCAAACTCCATTTTTGTATTTGAATACATGATGTTGTTCCATAGATCCATGACATGTTATTATCTTTATGATTTCACGTACTTTTTACATTTTATGCTCATGTTTTTTGAAATATGGAACAGACTCAACAAATGAGATGCATTTGGGAACACAAATTCCATGGCATTCATCAATGTAAGTTCTCGGTCCATCACCATAACCTTAGGTAGTGATTTCTCCAAAGAGAACAACTTTTTAACCTTATCCAGTTCTCATGTGAAATTCTCATCCCTTTCATGTTTCAAATAGGCAAAGGCAATTGAAAATGTCAACTTCGTTGATGTAACACCAACAATCTCAAGTAGTGGTATCTGGTACCTGCACAATCAAAATGCACATAACCAAACATCTCACTCAACATCTACAACAGATTTTAGCATGTGAAAAGTAAAGTTATTACCTATTTGTCTTGTATGTGCAATCAAAAATTAACACCAGATGAAACATATTCAACAACTTCACATAATCGAGATGTGTCTAGAAGATATCAACTGCAATATATGAGTTGTCCTTATTTCTAGTTCAACACATATATTTCTCTTCATGAATAAGGCTTAGTAACATTTGCATTTCTGTCAGTATACCTCTCTTGCTTATTCTGTATGTTGATCTAGCTTTATACACCCGGGTAATACTCGTGAGGTTTTCTGGATCTTTATCTTTCAAAGCAAAAACTATGTACCTTGGAGCCATATTGTACTTCTCCATATCATTCACAAACTTTCTTTCATGATCTTTTAGACGACCCAATATATCACGGTCTTCCAAATTCATATTTATCCTATGATTGTGCATCCTGCATCTAATCATCACCTTCCAACTGATATCACTTGGAACAGATCTCGGCCTAAATGGATATTTAACCTTCATACTATAAATGCCATAAGATGAATTAGTGGTTTCACATGCATTTTTCTTTTATAATTTCCTACTCTCTCACAATCCATAATTAATTTATCCTTCCTCCCTCGCATTTCATTAGCAGAATTAGAAAGAACAATGACAACAATAATACTATGTTGTTTACTAGTAGACTGTGTCTATGCTAAAACCTCATGTCGAGAGTTAAAAAACTGTCAATTACAACAAATAATTATTAAACTATCAACTTCATAAAGGACGAAAATCAATTAAAGTTGCATTAGTTCAATAGGAAATATACGATATATGTGGTGAAGAACTCCATAAAATTTGTACAAGAATCTATAGAAGAAGTTGATGGCTCTTGACCACACAAATAAAGAATTTTATCTTCAGTCATACCGGAAATTTCAAGTTTATGCAAAAAATTTGGTATTCCAGAAATTTGAAATTTTCGATAAATACTTTTCGTCCCAGAAATTTCATAAACTTTCTGTACATTTCTTTAGTTTATTGATATTCATCGAAAATTTCAAAATTTTCGGTAAATTGCCTCTGGAAATTTAGAATTTACTTTAAATCGCCTCGGAAATTTTGAAAACTCCAACAATTTCTGGTAAAACGCGCAATTTAATACCGGAAATTTCGTCATGGGTACTGAATATTTCAATTTTCACCCCTTGAACAATAGTATAAAAAATTGACAAATATAATTTTTTTAGGGGTAAATAGTAACAAGGCCATTTTTAGAATTAAAAAAATTAGGTGGAGGTGTCATGTATAATTTAGGGGTGGCAAGTAAAATCCTCTTAAGCTTTTGCGTCAACAACCGGGAGAAGAATTGCTTCCTTTTTTTCGTTACACGTGTTCATGACACTATTGGGCCGTCAGTCAACAAAATAGGCTATAATCGGTGTTTTAGGAAGGAAAAAAAAGGGAATTGCTTTTTTTACCCTTATGTAATCACCCACGCTAAAAGTTCACAGTGTTCCTTGGGACGCATATTTTTGTACACATCTCAACAAAATTATTTTGAAACCCTTTTCTTTTAAAGTTAGTCCGAAAATACATCTTTGTATGTATAAAATGTTGATTTGGAGATGCTTATCTGAAACTCCCATTTGTTTATTAGTTTATAAGCTTTACGGAGATGCATCTCCGAAATATACTATATTAGTTCAGACCAGAAATATGCATAAAACAATAGCATAATGGAAAACCAGCATAGATTAACTTCAAACATTACATAGATAAACATTACATAAATTTAACATTACATGTCATTACAAATAGATGGTTTAGGATGTTGCAACATCCTTATAATATCTTTGGTTGTTCTTTGGATCGTCACATCCATTTCAATAGGATCCTTTGTTGAGTAACAATAAAAGTACTCCACATAACCTTCAAATCATCATTCATCTTCAGTTCAAGCATAGTGAAATGTATCTTTCATTCGTTGTTGTTGTACCCCAAAATTTTCCCTCTCATGTTTCCCAAGTTTTTTCTCTTATATGGGTGGTTACAAACACTTGCCTAAAGAAAATGAAATTTTGAATATTAGCAAAGTGTCTTTCGATTAGCAGTTCAACAATGTCCTTCGATTGGTATCTAAACAATGTCCTTCGATTGGCATAACAGCAAGGTTCGACTGGGCTCCTAAAAACCTTCGACCAAGCATTGACCCATCAGCTTCGATTGTGTGTTGGTTCCACTTCGAGCAAGCTTTGGTCCACAAGTATCATTCCAGCAGTGCCCTCTGTGTGCGCCTTCAGCGCACTAGGCAAATACTCCCTTTAAGCGTGCCTTCAGCGTACAAAGCAAGAATACGCTATAAGTTTGCTTCGATTCACCAGTAGTGAACTCCTACATACAAGCTTTAATTGGGCTCTGAATCTCTTTCAATCAATAAGCTTCCTCATGCTTTCCTTGGTTTCACAAGGCAAAGACCCATCAGCTTGCCTTTGATCCACAAGGCAAAGACCCATCAGCTTGCCTTTGATCTACAAGGAAAAAGGCCCCTTTCACTGGTCTTCAATTCACAAGACAAAGGGCTACTTCAGACATGCCTTCGATTCACAAGGCAGAGGCCCCCTCTTCAGCTTGCCTTCAGCATACAAGGCCAAGACTTCTTCGGATTTACCTTCAA